AGTCAGCTGCTGCGTCTGCCTTAGTTGCTGAGCTTGTCGACTTTGCTGCTCACTATCGTCTAGACTACGCTGCGAGTCTTGTTGCTGAGTCTGAGTCTGTCTGTCCTCCGTCCGTCGGGGGTGAGTGTGATCTTGGCACGGACGTCCTTGAGGACAGGCAGGAGGAGTTTGAGTGCTTTGCCGCTGCTGTACCTCATCTCGTGTCCATGCTGATTGCACCTGAGGGAGACCCGGATGCACCAGACATCCCGACCCCGCGCTCTTACGCTGAGGCGATCGCGCGTGAGAGCGCGGGGTCCACGCTGAGTGACAACATGACAGAGCAGCAACGTGACAGCTTGTAGTCACGCTGAGCTCTCAGTGGCAGACAGCCATGGACGCAGAGATGGCATCCTGGAAGTCCACTGGCACTTACGTCGACGAGGTTCCCCCTCCAGGGGCGAACATCGACGATGGCATGTGGATTTTCAGGGTGAAGCGGCCGCCAGGTTCTCCGCCTGTCTTCAAGGCTCGTTACGTTGCTCGAGGCTTCAGTCAGCGAGAGGGAGTAGACTTCTTCCAGACCTTCTCCCCCACCCCGAAGATGACCACTCTTCGGGTGCTGCTGCACGTTGCCGCTCAGCGTGACTACAAGCTTCACTCTCTTGACTTCAGCACAACTTTCTTGCAGGGCAGCCTGCACGAGGAGATCTGGCTGCGCCGCCCCCCTGGCTTCACTGGGTCGTTCCCTCCTGGTACCCAGTGGAGCCTCCGGCGGCCGGTCTATGGTCTCCGCCAGGCGCCACGTGAGTGGCACGACACACTGAGGACTACACTTGCGGCTCTTGGGTTCGCGCCTTCTACTGCTGACCCGTCGCTGTTTCTACGCACCGACACTTCGCTGCCGCCGTTCTACATCCTCGTGTACGTCGACGACTTGGTCTTTGCCACTGCTGACACTGAGGCTCTCGCCCACTTGAAGTCGGAGCTGCAGAAGAGACACACGTGCACAGACCTGGGTGAACTGCGCAGCTACCTTGGCTTGCCATCACCCGGGACAGAGCACGCCGCACCATCACACTGACTCAGTCACACATGGTGCAGCAGGTCCTTCAGCGCTTCGGCTTCACCTGGTCCTCGGCACAGGCCACTCCTCTGGCTACAGGTCACTCGCTCTCAGCTCCACCTTCGGACGAGTCCGTAGAGCCGAGTGGTCCTTACCCAGAGCTAGTTGGCTGCCTCATGTACCTGATGACTTGCACTCGTCCTGACCTCGCGTACCCTCTTGGCCTTCTGGCTCGCTACGTGGCTCCTGGTCGGCACCGAAAGGTGCACATGGATGCTGCTAAGAGGGTACTGCGCTACTTGTGCAGTACATCAGGCATGGGGCTCGTGCTTGGAGGGAGGAGCTCAGTTGTTCTCACTGGGCACTCAGACGCTTCTTGGGTTGACGACCAGGCTACTCAGCGGTCGTCACAGGGTTACACCTTCAGTCTTGGCTCTGGTTCAGTTTCTTGGCGTTCTATTCGCTCGTCTTCAGTTCTCAGCTCCAGTTGTGAGGCTGAGATCTACGCCACAGCCATGGCTGCACAGGAGTTACGCTGGCTCGCCTACCTGCTGACCGACTTGGGAGAGCGGCCTCGTTCTCCTCCAGTGCTGTACGTCGACAACAAGGCTGCCATTGCCTTGTGTGAGGAGCACAGACTGGAGCACAGAACGAAGCACATCGCTCTGCGTTACTTCCTGGCTCGAGAGTTGCAGCAGCGTGGTCAGCTTCGTCTGCGTTACGTAGCCACTCAGGCCAACACTGCTGATATATTCACCAAGGCACTTCAGTCTGGTGATTATCAGCGTTTCTGCACTATGCTAGGGCTTGTGCCCACCTTCCCTCACTTGCTGTAGGCTCTGCCTGTACTGTGATCTCTATATATATATATATACCTGCATGCTTGCTTTGCTAGATCGAGATCAGTGTGTTGTTTGTGCTGCATATATGCCTCTGCATGTGAACTGGCCTTGTGGCCCTTTGCTTGTGCTCAGAGTGTGTGGTGACGTTGTGATCCACCCTGAGCTTGCTTTGTCTTTCTTGACTGGTCTTGTGACCCCTTGCTCTCCCCCACTTAGCCTATGGGGGTGTGTCAAACATTATATATGTTGCTTATGTGCAGGCTATAGTGGGTTAGCCTTTAGGGGGTACAATACTCTAGGGTTTCATACTTGTACTCCCAATCTTCCTAGTGCAATCACTTCTCTCATTCTGACACATCACCCTCTTAGCGGCCTTCCAGTGCTCTGGTCGGTGTCTCCCTGGCGCAACGTAGCGCACCAAATTGCTAAGAGGGTAAGCAAGGTCAGGCCGAGTGGAGGTCATCAGGTACATGAGGCAGCCCACAAGTCCTGGATACGGGCCACTCGGCTCTACGGACTCATCCGAAGGCAGAGCTGAGAGCGAGTGACTTGTAGGCAGAAGAGTGGCCTGTGGCGAGGAGTACTGGAAGTCGAAGCGCTGAAAGACCTGCTGCACCATGTGTGACTGAGTCAAGGTAATGGTGCGAAGTGCTCTGTCCCGGGTGATCTGCAAGCAAAGATAGCTGCGCAGCTCACCTAGGTCTGTGAACGTGTCTCTCTTCTGCAGCTCCGACTTCACTAGAGTCAGTGCCTCAGTGCCAGGAGTGGCAAAAACCAAGTCGTCGACGTGCACGAGGATGTAGAACGGCGACAGCGAAGTGTCGGTGCGTAGAAACAGCGACGGGTCAGCAGTAGAGGGAGCAAAGCCAAGAGCCGCAAGGGTCGTCCTCAGTGTGTTGTGCCACTCGCGAGGCGCCTGGCGGAGACCGTAGACTGGCCGCCGGAGGCTCCACTGGGTACCACGAGGGAACGACTCAGTGAAGCCAGGTGGGCGGCGCAGCCAGATCTCCTCGTGCAGGCTGCCCTGTAGGAACGCAGTGCTGAAGTCAAGAGAGTGAAGCTCGTAGTCACGGTGAGCGGCGACGTGCAGCAACACTCGAAGAGTGGTCATCTTCGGGGTAGGGGAGAAGGTCTGGAAGAAGTCAACTCCCTGTCGCTCACTGAAGCCTTGTGCAACGTGACGCGCCTTGAAGACAGGCGGAGAACCCGACGGCCGCTTCACTCTGAACATCCACATGCCACTGGCGATGTTCGCCCTAGGTGGGGGAACCTCGTCGACGTAAGTGCCTCTGGACTTCCAGGATGCCATCTCTGCGTCCATGGCTGACTGCCACTGAGAGGAGTAGGGACCCTCTATCGCCTCTGCGTAAGAGCGCAGGGCCGGGATGTCTGGTGCATCCGGGTCTCCCTCAGGTGCAATCAGCATGGACACGAGATGAGGTACAGCAGCTGCAAAGCACTCAAAGTCCTCCTGCCTGTCCTCAAGGACGTCCGTGCCAAGAGCACAATCACCACCGATGGACGGAGGACAGACAGACTCAGACTCTGCAACAAGACTAGCGGCGTAGTCTAGACGACAGCGAGCAGCAAAATCGACAAGCTCAGCAACTAAGGCAGACGCAGCAGTGGACTCAAAGGAAGGGTCAGTGATAATAGTGGCCAGGAGACGCGTGACAGTAGGACTAGCAGCACCAAGGGAGTCAGACTCCAAAAAAAGACGGAGAGAAGGAGACGGGAGTGCATGCCACGAAGGCGTGCCAGTAGGACTAGCAGAGACCTGGGAAGACTAGAGACAAGGAGACGGGAGTGCATGCCACGAAGGCGTGCCATAGAGGGGTGACCAAGACGGTGGTGCCAAAGGAGCGTCTGGTGCGACAGGGCGCGACACGAGCAGGGGGCAGCAAGCTGACCTGTCGCAGACGCAGACGCAGCTACCTAAGGAGGCGTAGTAGTCAGTGTGTACAGACTCGACCCAGACCAACGGGTGAACGTGACCTGGTGGCGACCGGTCCGGGAGCACGTACAGATCTCCACACGCTGCCGTCCAGGGGTGAAGGTGTCAACCCCCGCATCCTGGAAAACAGCTGTGCTTGCGGATAATTCTATTCTAAGGGAGAGCTGAATTGCGTGTGACGCACGGTCAGAGTTCTGGCAGTGATTCTGGACAGAGTGTTTGAATGATTTAGTAGAATTCGAGCATAGTTTCTCTAAGAATAATTGATAGAACAAGATTATGGTACAAGGAAGGAGATCCCAAATAGCAAGCACAATGAACCCTGGAGAAACGTTCCTCGACGAACGCTTGACCTTTCCGAGTCAGCAACGCCAGGTGAAACGACAAGCATATGTGTCTTTCTCCTGAGTTTGTAGCTTCTCAGGTTTCCAACGTTCAGAGTTGTTTACGTTTTTACTGTTAGTAAAAACGTGTTTCAGGTTCAGTTTCCTTACTGATTCGAAATCTCCTGGGGAGTACATTTTTCGAAATGCTCTGATTGGTCGAAATTTGCTGTTTCTCGGTTGGTCGAAATTCACGCACATTGCGATTTTCGTAGACAAGTAATTTTGGTCGACCACAATTTTTCGGCTCGACGATGCCTCGTTCGAGCTTAAAGCGACGGGCAACTTTTGGCAGTGTTGGGTTCAGAAGTTTTTTTTTTGAACCAGGCTTGCCAGCGCGAAAGTGCTGGCTGGCAAAAACCAGGATTTCGTGCGGACACTTTCCATCCGCAGTAACAGTTCGCCAGGGTTCTGGGTTTTGGGTGGCAAATGTGCACCGTCGCTTTAATTCTGTCGACCAGCGTTTCGTTGAAACGCCATTTTCTCCAATTTCGTCGACCCGCAAGGCCCGATTTCGACGCCGATTTGCTCCCCTCGACAAGTGCCTTGTCGACGGGCAGTTGCGTAGAGCAGAAACAACACTTAAATTTTGACGACTTAATCTTCTCGAAAATCGACCCGTCGAACAGAGATAAAAGTCCCTGAAGTCGCCGATGACCACGAAACAAACACCGTTGTGCTCCGAAAAGCATGGCCGACTTCGCCCAAGCGAGGGCGGGGCCTTTTCTCCTCGACAGTGCTCACCAAGTTCGTAGAGAACGAGGGGAGGTGGAGACCTAACAGTGACCCAGACGGAATCGCCGGACAGGGCAGAACAGTGGAGGAACGTGCAAGGACTGGGCCCCTAGAGGGGTCAGCCAAAGACACAGCAACAGGTGCAGTAAGTGGTGTGACTGTGGTACTGTCGCGAAAGAAACAGCGGGAAGCACCTGAGTCAAGCGTGAAGGTGTGCAGGGCCGCAGGAGACTCAGTACCAGAGAGAGCAGACTCACCAGCAGACTCACTAGCACCTAGAGCAGCAGCCTCTATACCTAGGTCTGGCGGCATACACAGGTAACACTCACCCTCAGCACTAACAGACAATGCATACATGGCAGATAGGATAGCATCAAAGTCTAGAGCAAAGATATCAACATTCTTCCTAAGCAGCGCTGCCCACTCGGGGAGCTCATCCTCGTTGGGGAACTCTGCGCGGAAGGCATCGGTAAGGCGGTAGATGCAGCGGTGCTGAGTGTGAGACCTCCCGCATATCTGACAAGTGCGGTCACCTGTGCGAATGGCATACGGGCAGGGACCACTACCCCCAGCCGCCCCAAGCTGAGCAAACCACTCACGGAGCTCCTGAGACGAAAGAGGCTGACGCTGCTGCTGCCGCTGGCCACCTCCAAGGCCTCCCCTCTGGCTGGTGCCACCCCTGCCGCCCCCACTGCCGCCGCCTCCACCCCCACTGCCGCCACTACCGCCGCCACCACCGCTGCCGCCACCACTCCCACTGCCGCCACCACCTCCGCCACCTGCCCCGCCGTCCCCACCAGCACTACCTCCTCCACCGCCGCCCCCACCACCGCCTCCACCGCCCCCACCACCGCCTCCACCTCTGCCACCCCCACCTCCCCTGCCTCCCCTTCCCCTGCCGCTACGGGGCCTCCCACTAGGGGCAGACGCAGCTCCTACCTCCTTAGCTCGAAGGTAGTCAACAGCTGCAGCAGAGGCGACTGAGGGGAGAAGGGGGGAGGGTGAACACCCCTCAAAGAAGGGGGTGCGAGGAGTGCCACGAGAAGCGCGTACATCGACTATGCTAGTCTCAGCGGCTAGGAGGTGCTTCTCGAGCAGGTCGACTGTGAGGTCGGTCAGGAGGAGGTCCCTGACTGCAGTAAGAGAGTCAAGGAGGGGGGTGACTATGAAGTAGAGCGTGATGCACATGGGGGGGGGGTTCTTGGTGAGAAACTCGGCGGGGAGCGCAGCACGGTAGCGAGTGTTACTAGTGCGGAGGTGAGTGACTAGGTCGGCTACTGTGGCAAAGGCGGACAGGTCTGGAAACAGGTAGGGCAGGATAAGGCGGCCTAAAGCAGCAGTGGCCGGGGAGGAGTAACAAGCGACTACAGCGTCGTACAGTGCTTTCGCTATCTTATGCTGGCCAAAGTGGGCGCGTTCGGCTAACGGCAGGTGGTTGCGAACGGCTAGGCGAGCAGCAGCGTCATGGGTAAGCCACTGTGAGCGGGTCGCATTGTCAGCTGTGGCGTCAGGGGCGGGCGAGGCGCCAGAAGTGAGGTCAAACAGCGAGGTACCGTCCTTAGAGTCTGTCAGCATGAACAGCTGTAAATCGTCTAGCCATGCAGCGAACTCTATCGGGCGGCCCTCCGAATCGAAAGTGAGAACATTGAGAGTGGCCATAGCGAGCTAGGCAGGGGAGTGCGCTAGCAGTAGTGCAGCAGAGAGCGGCGCGTGGCGCGCACAGCAGGGCAGGGCGCACGGCAGGGCAGGGCGCGCATGGCAGGGTAAGGCGCGCACGGCAGGGCAGAGGCGTGCACGGCAGGGCAGAGGCGCGCGGGCAGGGCAGAGGCGCGCGGCGGTGCGGCGCGCGGGCAGGGCAGAGACGCGCGGCAGGACAGGGCGCGCAGCGGCGCGGCGCGCAGGCAGGGTAGGCCGCGCGGCGGCGCGGCGCGCAGGCAGGGCAGGGCGCGCGGCGGTGCGGCGCGCAGGCAGGGCAGGGCGCGCGACGGCGGCGCGCTGGCAGGGCAGAATTGGCCTGCTTCAGATACACCTCTCGCCCTGGTTGTACTTCCTTCTTCTCTGGCCCCCCTTGTCTCGCCCCTCTCTGCTTGTACCTCTGGACATCCCGCAGCTGTGCCACGTGCAGATTTTCCAGAGCGGCGGACAACAGCTCCCTCAGGTATTTCGCTCGGGCTTCAGCTACTGCCACCCACATCTCTTCCGTTCCCACCATCACGGTGTCAGTCATCAGCTTGGGTGCATCTATGGGCAGAATTGGTTCTCTTCCTAGCAGGAGGTAGTACGGCGATAGGTCTCTCAGCGCTGCTTGTTTACTAAACTGGTACCCCGCTGTCACCCAGGGCAACCTCAGGTCCCAGTCCCTTTTGTACTGCTCCCCATATGCCCGCAGCCCCTTCTTTAAAGTCTGCACAAACCGCTCGGTGAGTCCGTCACTCTGGGGATGGTACCTCGAGGTCCTTCGGTGTGTGATACCCGTCTCTCGCACTAACTGATCGAACTGCCCTTGGAATTCCGTTCCTTGATTTGTCAGCACCTCTCTGCATGCCCCGAACCGTGTCAACGCTTGCTCCTCGAACGCTTCTGCAATCCTTGCTCTGGAGTGCCTTCACCTCTACCCACTTGCTACCGTGCTCTATCATGGTAAGGATGTATCTCTTGCCCCTCCTGCTCAGCGGCATTTCTCCGGCCAGGTCTAGAGACCACCGAAAACCCAGGCCGTATATCGGCAGCGATTGTAGCTCCTGCCGGCCCCTGTCCAGTTCCGCCTTGTTCCTGCTGCACAGCTCACAGCTCCCCACCCATTCTCTTACTTGCTTACGCATTCCTGCCCACCACCACGATGTTCCCACTAACTGAAGAGTTCTCAGCTCCCCGGAGTGCCCTAGCTGTCGGTACACCCGCGCGATCAAGCCTTCCCTTTGCCCTAGGGCAGGCACTACTTTCCACCCTTCTTTCGTGTTCACCTGCAGCTGATCCTGGTGCCAGCGGTAGTGGGCTCCCCTCGCTCTCACTCGTTCTGGCACGTCTCCTTCTCCTGTTTCCCCCTGGACCCACCGCAGTACTTCAGGGTCCTCCCACACGTCTCTCCTTGCCCTTCCTCGCTCCTTCCTGGTCAATCTGCCGTGCCATCGCCACGAGGCACTCAGTGGGTCTCTCTAAAGCCGGGTTCCTTGAGAGCCCGTCCACGTGCTGCACATTCTTGCCGGGTCGGTGTTTGATAGTGAAGTCATACTCTTGTAACCGCATGGCCCACCTAGCATTCCTCCATGTGAGTCCTTGGTTCGTCATCAGCCAAATCAAAGGCTGATGGTCGGTTACTAGCGTGAACGGTCTCCACTGCAGGTACACGCGGAAGTGTGTGATTGCCCACACTGCGGCCAGTCCTTCCCCCTCGTACGAGCTATAATTCGCCTCGGCGGGATTGCAGCTGCGGCTCGCGAACGCCACTACCTTTTCCTCTCCGTCCTTTTCCTGACATAAGATCGTTCCCATCCCAATGCTACTCCAGTCAGTGTACAGTATGAACTGGTCTTCCTTGCTCGGCAGGGTTAGGACAGTCGCCGACTTCACTGCCCGCGTCGGCTGCGTTAGCGCTTTCTGCTCTTCCTCCCCCCACTGCCACTTCTGCTCCTCCCTCAGTAGCTTGTTCAGCATGGCTGCGGTCTTGCTGAAGTTCGGCACGAACCGTCAGTAATACCCCAAGAATCCCAGCACTGCTCGCATAAAAGATCTGTCCACCGGGGTTGGTACTCTGTCTAGTACCTCCACCTTCGCTTCCTGCACGCCCAGCTTCCCGTCTCCCACCTCAAACCCCAAGTATTGCACCGTTTTCTGCCCGAACTTGCACTTCTTCGGGTGACATGTCAGTCCGGCCGCTCTGATTGCGGTGAGCGTGGCCTGCATGTCCTTCACGTGCTCTTCTTTGGAAGCGCTAAAGACGACCACGTCGTCTATGTAGCAGGCTGCGGCCGGCACTCCTCGCAGCAGAGTGTCCATGGTCCGCTGGAACACGGAGGGCGCATTCCTCGTTCCGAACGGCATCACTCTCCACTCATACAGCCCATCCGGGCAGTGGAACGCCGTTTTCTTACGATCCTACTCCTTGATGACTATCTGGTTGAAGCCTTGCCTCAGGTCCAAGGTGGAGAACACCACGGCGCCGTGCAGCTTGTCGAATATCTCCTCCGCGGACTGCATTGGGTATCGATCAGGCACGGACACCTTGTTTAACCCCCGATAGTCCCCGCACATGCGTTTAGCGGACACATCCCCTATGATGTCAGTCCAAGCGGCCACTACCGTGGCTGCTGCGTAGTCGCTTTCTGACCTCTAGATCAGCCCCACATCTAGCAGCTCTTGGCATTTCGCGGTGCACACCTCCACATCTCCCGGGCTCATCCTTCGCTTGCGGTGGTACACGGGTGTCTCGCTGCTGAGTACTATGCTCATCTCCTGCACGTTATATCTGCCAAGCTCTTTCAGAGTGAATGCGAACGTGCTCCTATGTTCCTGCGGAACCTCCCTCAGGGCCGCTGCTGCGGCTGCCCCCAGCCCATCGCCGATCTCCCATTAAGCCTCTCCGCCTCCTGCTGGCTTCTGCCCCCCGTTCCTTGGCTCTCTGGGCTCCTCCGCTGTGGCCCCCTATTCCGCCTCCACCGCCATGAACGTCCACCAGTCCATCATCCGTTCGGTCCGGTGTGCTTCTATGCTCTCTAGCTGCTGCCTCCTCCAGGCCGCTTCCCTCTCATCCTGGTAGCGTAGACTGCCATCTAATTCTCTCTGCACGGCCTTCGTCTTCAGGTGCATGCGGATGGTCTCCAGGATCCACGTCATCACGTTCAAATCCATCGCCCTCCCCAAAGCTGCCCTCCTTTGTCCTTCAGTCACTTCGGGATGTGCCGTTGCTCCCCACATATGCCCCATCGCCAGCTCTCTTTCCTCCGTGGTCGGCGGCTCCCATCGGCGGGCCCTCAAATCGCAGACCATCCCTGGCCTGGGCAGGCTGCCTTCCATGACGAATCCCCTCGCGTGTGCGAACGAGACGAGGGTAGGCCACGCTCTTCTGGGCTCTCGTGGGACATTGTACTGATACTGGGATGGATGATCCTCGACCGTCACCGGCGCGGGCACCCTGTTGGGCCCCAGGATGTCCTTCACCAGCCGAGGGTGCGGCCTCTGCAGCTGTGCCAGGGAATGCCTCAGCAGCGCGTCCGACACTCCGTTCTGCCAGTACCTCCTCGGTCGGTGAGCTCTGGACCCCAACTGCGCCGCGTCGGCTGGCACTCCTCGGCCCAGTACGGCCTTGATCTCCTCGAACGCTCGTTTCACCGGTTCCCTCTTATCGTCAGCCATGTCCACGTTCTCGAAGACGAATACCACTTCTCGCTCCCTCTGCTGGATCATCCGTAATACCCTCTCCAGGTCCCTGAAAGACGCTCCTCTAGGATCCTCCATTCCCCTCCCCTCGCCTGCTCTTGAGTATCCTTGGCACTCCCACCCCGCTATCACCAGATCTATCGGCCCCCATTTCTCCAGCACTTGTTCGGTGATGTCTCGCACGTCGTGCGCTGTCACCTCTTCCTCGGTTGGGAATGCCGTGATCAGCATCTGCTGTGGGTATTCTTCCAAGAGCTTGAGGGCATGGTGCCGCGCCATCTTACGCACCACGGGGTCCTTTTCTACGTGGATCCACCTTCCCACGAAGCACCCAGCCTTCAGCGCTGCTGCGAGCCCCGTCCCGAAACCCCCATATAGCTCCAGCACGCACAAGGCTCCGTCCAGGCACCACGTCTTGCTGACCCTCTCCTTCAAATCCGTTACTCTCCTCCTTGTCTCGTACAGCTCGATCCTCCATTGCCCTTCCTCGGCGTACTCCTGCCACGTCCAATCGTCTAGCTCCTTAGACAGGTCGGCTTCTTCTGCTCGGTAAGCTGCTCGGGGTTCCTGCTTCACGAATCTTACGGGTAGAGTCCCCAAGGAACTCTCTGGGTCCCAATACTGCACTCGGTACAGCACCTTCTCATGCCAGGTGCATATCGTTGCCCCCACCTTGTACAAGAGTGTCAAACATTATATGTTTATATTGTGTAGGCTATAGTGGGTTTAGCCTTAGGGGGTACAGCTTTGTTAGGGTTTCCTACTTGTATCCCCCTCCTACCTAGTTTCATGCATTCTCGTTCTATTCTAGATTCTAACAAAGAGTTCCATCCCCACCAGCACGTCGTAGTCCTCGGATTGCGATACCCCGCACTTCAGCCGCACGCAGCACTCCTTCTCTGTACCAGGCAGTAGCGTGATCTCCACCGGCCTCTTGGTACTGGGCATCCATTTCGGCTCTCCTCCCTCGGCGCTCATCAACAGGATACCCCGCTCCACTTGCCGCTCTGGCCGTAATTGCTTCGCCAGTCCTTTCCCAATAATGACATCATATACTCCCGTATCTATGATCCCCTGCCCCACTGCCAACCCTCCCACTGTCAGGCTTCCCTTTTCCGCAATCAAAACCGAGGCTTGACACACCATCCTCTCGTTAGGGTGCCTCCACATCTCGCTGCTCGTGGAACCTGTACGCTGCG